GGACCGACTGCTCAGGGCCAGCCAGGCCATCGCCATGATCGATTCAACCTGTCAACTGAAGACCTCCGTCGTCGAGTAGAGCGCTGGCCAAGACCTTCGATTGCACAGCCCTGCAAGAATTCCGCGGTCCGGCGTGCCCGCCGCTGTGGCTGGCGGACACGGTCCGACGTGCTCGCCGCTGCTGCCGCCGGACACGGACCGACGTGTCCGCCGCTGCGGCCGGCGGACGCGGTCTGACATGTCCGCCGCTGCGGCCGGTGGACACGGTCTGACGTGTCCGCCGCTGTGGCTGGCTGACACGGTCCGACGTATCCGCCGCTGCTGCCGCCGGACACGGACCGACGTGTCCGCCGCTGCCGCCGCCCGACACAGTCCGACATGTCCGTCCTTGCCTCCGGCGGATACGGTCTCGTGTCCGTCGTTGGGGCCGGCAGACACGGTCTCCCGTGTCCGTTACTGCGGCCGGCGGACACGGTCCGGCGCCGCTGCCACCGTCGGACACGGTCCGACCGCTGCGCAGCGTCAACGGCGCCCACATAAAGCGGGGCGCCGTTTGCCGGAAACGGGCGTCGCAGTGAGCCGGGTATCGACTGCCGTTGGGTCGAAGTGGCGTCGGGCGGCGACCCGCCGGCCGGGCAGCGCAGGACGCCTGGGGCGTGCCCGTCGGGGTCGCGTGAAGGGAGATCGGCCGTTTATGGCCTCGCCTGCTGGTACCCTGGCTAAGACTCAACTAGTGAAGGGCGGGGCGTTGATGTGTTTGATCTCGATGATTGTACGTGGGAGGGTAGCGTTGAGCCCTGCTAACTTGCCGCAAACCCGAGGGTTTGTGTCCCCTTATTCGTCTTCAGTTGCGCCGGCAGTAAGCTTCCGGCTTGATATGTTGCTGATAACGTTTTAATGTAAGATGCCAGTGGTCTTGTCCACGTATTGGGCTTTCGGGACTACAACCTCAAAGCACCATGTTAGGACTACAACCTCAAAGCACCATGTTATCCCCTGATAAATGATACGAGAAGCCACCGGCGTAGCTCTGTTCATACATGATTTGGTTCCGTCGCATTACACAGGCACCTAATTGGATTGTGCGTGCAATAGGACACACAGCGGGTGTGTTTCGTGCTGTTTTATCAGGTTTTTCGAAGTAGCTGATACACATTATTCCGGAAACGTTTTTGTTTTATCATATGTAAAGTCGTCATGTTACGGTCGTGCGTCAGGCTCCATTGGAAGAAAGCGAAGTATCGTAAACGTGAAATGACGAAAATGTACATGATAATGAAACAAGACCGCCTCGGAGCTAACAAAAACATACCGTATTTTGAAAGGTATGACGGCAGACCGCTATTCCGCTCCAGTTTATGCAATTCATTGAGGAGATCCGATTTGGCACCAATCAGGTTGCTGTCTAATGGCGCTTACGCGAAAAGGGCTGATGTGGACCGCCAACGCACGGAGCCCGCACAGACACCGAAATAGACAAGAAGGCCCCACGGGGTATCTCGTCGGCTGCCGTTTCTGATGACTGTTGTTTCGTCTGGTAGCTACGTCTGTATCTGATAGCTTGCGAAGTATCTGACGTTTTAGGGTAATGCCACTCGCATGACGCTAGTACGCTGCTACCATGACACATGGCAGTAGAGTACTGGTACATTAGTGTGTGTACATAGCACATATGCGTGGTAGATGGTAGAGTACTGGTACATGTATGTCATGTACATGACGTACATGACACCAGTACTGGTACGGGTACTCTGCCAAGTGCCGGGAGCAAAGCCTCTGCCGTTTAGGGCGGTACACAGGTGGGTGACAGTGGCTACTTACGTAACCCTCGAATTACCTGGCGTGTCCCGTGTTACGGATGTATCTCCTACGTTACGTGACGCTTCCCTGTGTTACGTTGTGCATTTCCTCCACTGCGTGACGCTTCTCTTGAGCTGCGTCACGCTTCTGTGTTACGTGCCGCCTATCGTGTGTTACGTGACGTCCCCCCTGTGTTCGTCACGCGTCTCCTGCGTTTCGTCACATGTCTCCTGGGTTTTTGACGCGTCTCTTGTGTTCCCTGACGTAGATTCTGTGTCAGCTGATTTGGCTTTCTGCTCAGCTGATTTGTCTGCTTTGCTCAGCTGATTGGGCCGCTCTGCTCAGCTGCTGTCATTATCCATCGGCAGTGTGGAGGCCACGTGGAGGTTGGGCCGCTGGGAGGATCTGGAGTCGGCCCTGGAGTCGGCGCCACTCGACTCCTGGGGTGCTGGAGTCGGCTGCACGCTCCTGCACGCGGGTACGACCCCTCCTGGAGCGAAGAATGCACGCCTCTGTGCAGCCTCAGGAGGGCGCAGAACCCTGCGCCAAACAAGCGGCCTGCTGTTAGCAGAAGCTGCTCATGGCGTGGGCGTGGTGCTGCCGCAGCCCTTTTGCACTGGCTGATCATTGGGGCTGCCTTCTCACACAATCCCACGCAGGTTGTTATCGCTGGCGCGACTGGGACTTGGGATCGGATCGCCAGAATAATAGGGCGAACCCCAGCCGTAGCCGGCAGCCTTTGGTCACGTACGCTGGTGTTGCTCTACCTGCGGTGGGTTGTGTGGGGGCATCGGGAGCGTGGGTAGTGGACTCGCGTGGAAAAAGAAGCCAGTACTCTAATGATTAGTCACGCAATCGTGCTGCATCCTTTGTGTGGGAGCTTATTAAGCCGATGTTGGTGTTCCATTGACCCGCTTATGTTTAGTGCCTGTACGCCGCCGACTGCCTCACTGGTGGCAGCAAACCTGCCGGCCAGTGACGTTACGAAATATAGACAAACTTGCCGTTGAATGCGCGTGTGTTATATCGCGAACGCGAAGTTATCAAAATAATCCAGTATTTCATGTTGACTGGTGTTCTTGTATTTATACGCCGTTGCTTTTTCCGTTTTTGTACCATCGAAACAATTCAGAACGCCCCACTGCGATGTCTGATTACCGCGGTACTTTTTGTCAGGAAGTAATGCGTGCGTAAGCTCGTGCGTATGGCAGCGCGACCGTATGTCAATGACCAATTTCCGCTTCCGTGACAGACCGGCGGCAGGCTGCGGAGTTTGAGCGCATGCTGAGCTTCTGTCGGGAACAAGAGATGGCGCCACTGTGCGCTGCGGCGCTGGAAAAGGACAGTTACGCGAGAGAGTATGACCACCTGGTCAGGTGAGCGCCGTGCACGCTGCACGTGAGGCTTACGACGCGTCCTGAAGGCCTACGGCGAACGATCTGTCGAGTTCGTGTCGGTTGCCCGTTATCGTTGGACGAAACAGAGTCCAGGACATCCATCCCGACATCCCAAAAGTGCTCAGGCTGCTGTTGATTGCGGTGGCCATAAGATCGACTAATCGGCGCAGTTGCTCCGCTGCACTTAACCCGTCGACGATAGTTTCACTGCCTCTGAAATGATTTCGTCAGTTCACCACTTCTTCAGCTGAGTTCCTCTTGCTACAGCTGGGGCTGTGGACGTCATGGGCGACACCGGCTTCTGCTGAAAACCGAAACTGAGCTGCTTGTGGGAGGAATCGAACCCCAGACCTCTTGATCCAGGGCCTAAACCCTCAGGCAGACCACTTTGTGACTTACTGGTGCTGCTTTCTCCTCCCTGTGTCATTGCCCTGATCTGCCACTGTAATTACCAGGCTTCATCTACCGCGGACAAGTTCCGCCCCCTCACCTGTAACCCGGTACTGCACCTTCGGTGGCCTGACGTGACCTGACCTGACCTGTGCGGCCCAGGCTGCACATTCTCAGCGACATGGAGCGTTCTCTGCCGGCGCTGCTCTGGACCGAGGGAGAGCCGGACCCGACAGAGGAGCTGGCCGTCTGGCAGAGCCGACTGGAGACTGTGCAGTCGGCCGTCCGCACCCTGGAACCGGTCAGCCACCGAGCAGGGGCGTGTTCATGGAGGCAGGGGCGGGGCCAAGGAGGGCAGGGGCGGGGCCAGGTCTGGCCGTCTGGCAGAGCCGGCTGGAGACTGTGCAGTCGGCCGTCCTAACCATAGAGTCGGTCAGCCACCGAGCCGGAGCAGGGATGGGACCAGGGAGAGCAGGGGCATGGCCAGGCAGAGCAGGGGCGTGTTCAGGGAGGCCAGGGGGCGTCTTCAGGGAGGCCAGGGGCGTGTTCAGGGAGACCAGGGGGCGTCTTCAGGGAGGCCAGGGGCGTCTTCAGGGAGGCCAGGGGCGAGGTGTAGTCCGTTCGTCTGAAGGGTGTCACGTGTTCTGCGTTGCTGTATCGTGGGTGACGTGTGTCAGGCGTTGAAATGTCACGTGATGTACATCAGTGTGTCACCTGTCATGAAAGTGATGGAAGGTGCCTCGCATTAATACGTCATGTAACTGATGCATGTATACCGCGTTGATGTGTCACAAATGTGTGGCGGGTGTTTACCGTGTGGTGTGGGCAGTGTGCCGGCATTGACGTGTGTCGGAGGTGTGTGCTGGATGGCTCGTGCGTGTTCTGTGGGGGCTTAGAGTACGGGACTGGCATGGACCGGAATGAGTTGTCCGGCTTGTCTCTGGGACGAGCTGTGAGGTACGGCCGTGTGAACAAGTGTCCAGGTGAAGTGAAGGTAAGTGAAGTGAGGCTTCAGTCTGCGGGAGTTGCGCCGGATTAACCAGGATCACAGCGAGCAATCTCCGGGAGGGTAGTGGCAAGCACAATCCGCCTCATTTAATGTAACTGGGGCTTTAAGATATCGGTACCGCTCTTCCAATGGTTTCGCGGCCAAGTGTCAGGTACCCTTAAGGTTCGGCATCTGTCCCCGTTCACGGTCATTGACACTCGTGTCACAGTGTACGTGACCTTGACTTGACCTCGCTTCTCAGAGTCCACTGCGCTGTTTCCCAAACACGATACCAGTGTGGCATCGCTTGCCTTGCCTCCTCAGTTCTCACGCCGTCCGGTCCGACATTGACCACGCACTGCACCGACCTGACCTGACCTGACCTGCGCTCAGGTGCTGACGGCTCGGCGGGCGGTGCTGACGCTGGCCAGGGACCGCCTCCGGGCCCGCGGCAGCCCGGCAGCGCAGGTTCTCGACCTTCAGATCGGCCGCTGCTGGCTCCGCAGCGCTCGGGTCTCGCGCCAGTAAGGCCCGCCCCGGGCTGTCGCTGTGACATCTCGGCTTTCGTTTTGTTGTTTATTGGTGTTTTTGGTTGCTCCAACTACAGTGGTCATTTTGCTCCCAACCTGGGCTTTCTTAGTGACAGGGCTGACATTTTTGGTTGGTGGTTCTGCCGTATGGGCGCTTAGACATTTGCAAATGCAGCAGGCATTTTGCGTGATATTAGCATCGTCTTTGCCGTACCTTTAGCTGTATTTTTACCTGCGCAACTACTTGCAGGCGTGTTACTGGAATCGTTGTAGCTGATTCGTTTGTGGAATCGTGACGGTCTACGAATGAACCTACTGCAGAAGTGTTGGGCTCCAGATTTCACCTGATTGGTGTTGCTGACTTGGGTTAGCTTGGCGTCACTTTGATGGTAGCAATTCAGAGGTTTATGTGCTTTGCTCCCTTCAGAACCAATCGCCCAACCCCCAAGTGTAGGTCTCGCCGAATGGTTTCGTTTTACGTTGTCGGTGTCGGTGTCGCATTTGGACGGCATGCAACACTGTCGCTAAGGCGTCTTCTCACCCCGTCGAGCCGCTCCACGGTTTATGTGCGAACTGATCTCTCTCCGAAATGACAGCAGCGCGCGCGGTCACCACCGACGCGCCATCCACCGTGTGACGTCACGTCTGATGACGTCACCGCAGGGCGGGGCAGCTGCAGCGGGCGTCCAACTGCCTACTGCAGCTGGAGCGCCTGGAGCGCTGCCTGCCGGAGGCGTTCGTAGAGCGGGCGAGTCTACTGTGGCGTCGAGGGGAGGGCGACGGTGCGATACGTGAGCTTCGCCAGGGCATCGAGAGTCACTTCCCCGACTGGACGACCAAGATCAAAGGTGAGGGTGTCAGGTCAGCGGTGAGACGACCAATTCAGGGGCGAGGGAGTCAGAGCACAGACGAGAACGACGGGGTAAAGGTGGAGATGCAGATCAAAGGTGACAGTGCTGTGGCAAAGGCGAGATATGTCGAGCCCTGGTGACCAGTGGGATGGTCAGAGGTAAGAGCCCTGGTGACCAGTGGGATGGCCAGAGGTAAGAGCCCTGGTGACCAGTGGGATGGTCAGAGGTGAGAGCCCTGGTGACCAGTGGGATGGTCAGAGGTAAGAGCCCTGGTGACCAGTGGGATGGTCAGAGGTAAGAGCCCTGGTGACCAGTGGGATGGTCAGAGGTAAGAGCCCTGGTGACCAGTGGGATGGTCAGAGGTGAGAGCCCTGGTGACGAGTGGGATGGTCAGAGACGGTGGCCTGGCTAACCAGTTTGATGGTCAGATGTGAGAAGTGTGGGTTGGCGGTTAGAGGACGAGGGTATTGTTAAGACATAAAGAAAGACATATGGCTGACAAAGAGACACAAAAGTTCATCGCTGTTGGCATGTTGTGTGAACCTGTTGGTCAGGTTCCGTTCACGTCCTCGAAACTAATCTTACTACGTGAACTGCATGAATTTAGCTGGAAATGAGATCTTGAGACCGGCAGAATTTGTGTAAGCGGTTTTTAGATATTGCTACAGAGGATTTTCCCACGACTTCATTTGTCCGCCCATCCAAATGGTTCGCTACTCTTTGACTAAATGACATCTGCATCTGCATAGTCATACTCCTTTCTTTTGTTAAATGTGACTGGTTTCCTCTACGCGTCAGCCTAATTTCCAGTGCTCCGTGTAGATCTACGGGCCCAGATATTGCTGAGAGGGCCCAGGCAGGGGTGAGGACGCAGGTGAATGATACCCGATGGGCGCATGTAAGCGATACATTGACTGATGAGGAGATCAGGTGTGATGCAAGTATAATTGTGATTGAAAAGATTGAATGGAGCTTTATCTTTCTAAGACGGAGCAAAGCAGAGGTCCTATGAAGATGGTCGTGGCAGATCCTTGTGCGATAGGTAATGTAATGATTACGTGAAGCACTCATTGAAAATGTTAACTCAGTGACAGCAACCTTGTGCGATAGGTAATGTATTGATTACGTGAAGCACTCATTGAAAACGTTAACTCAGTGACAGCAAATCCGAGCACAGCAGCTCATATATAATATTTCTTCATCATACCTCGCCCACCAAGTCGACCCGAGGTCCACCATCTGACGTCACTCCTCTGTCCGTGTGACATCACTCCCCTGTCGGTGTGACGTCGCTACCCTGCCCGTGTGACGTCACTCCTCTGTCCGTGTGACGTCACAGGCGGTGGCTTGGCCGAGTCGGAGCGTCAGATTCTGGCGGAGGCCAAGCTGCTGCTGGCGCGCTACTGCGAGGAGTCGGCCAACATGGACAGCAACGTCATCAACCAGCACTTCGTCGAGACGACTGAGGTGGGAGCCTGCGCTACGCCGGTGCCGGGGTGGAAACCGGGCGCCGTGTGTGTGGAAGGAAGGCCTGTATGCGTTATGATTTCGATGGTCCCCCCCCCCCCCCCACAACCCAAACACAACTTAAGACAGTCGTCATCAATCGGCAACCCAACGGTGGTCTGAGGCGTTGCCGTTTTGTGTTCGACTGTTGCGGGTAGCGGCGGACAGAAGCAGTGCGAAACACGTGCTGTAACGTTGAGTAACGTCGCATGTACTGAATGTGGTGGCCTGTTTCCCGGGTGGATCGCGGGTAGCACTTCGTCGGGCTGGATCGGCTGCGTGCCTTGTTACACATATAACCACCAGCGAGCTGAGCCTCGAAAAGATGCGCAGAAACGTGAAACTGACCTTACAGTGCGTCCCTACGACGCTCCCGCCGTGACCTCGCTGCCGATATGACCCAGCAACGTGACCTCGTCGCCGCCACGTGACCGTGACGTGTTTCTCTCCGGCGTCAGATCCGCAAGGACTGGGAGGACGTCCACTTCTACACGGCCAAGTACCTGGACCGGCTGCTGGCGGCGCGGCTGGCCGGCGAGCGGGACTCGAACCAGCTAGGCGCCCGGGTGGTGCACGCCCTTGGTACGGGACGGCCGGGTGGTGTACGCTCTCGGTACGGGACGGCCGGGTGGTGCACGCCCTCGGTACGGGCCGGCCGGGTGGTGCACGCCCTCGGTACGGGCAGGCTGGGCGGTGTACGCCCTCGGTACGGGCCGGCCGGGTGGTGCACGCCCTCTGTACGGGACGGCCGGGTGGTGCACGCCCTCGGTATGGGCCAGCCGGGCGGTGCACGCCCTCGGTACGGGCCGGCCGGGTGGTGCACGCCCTCGGTACAAGTCGCCAGACGGCTGGCGCGGCTCGTCCGGCCGTGTGCAGGCGCCCTCCGGCACACCGCTGTGACCCTTTGACCCCTGAGACCCGTGGCCACACCTGTGGCCGTGTGTTCTGTGTCGGCGACCTGTGACGGTGAGACCATGTGACTTGTTTGTGCCGTGTGTTCAGGATGAACGACGGTGAGACCATGTGACTTGTTTGTGCCGTGTGTTCAGGATGAACGACGCCGCAGAGTTACCCACGTCCGTTTGTCGTGGAGCGTTTGTGTCTGGACATGCGTCGAGACATAACAGTCTGATCCCCACCTCGGTATCCTGCGGCCGGTCGGTCGGGCTCCCCCGGCGACTGTGACGATCGTGACGGACGCAGCTCTGCGCGGTGATGTGACGTCACAAGTTGGGCCAGCGCGGCGTGCATTGCTACCGGCGCCGGTCAATCATTGATCGCCGATCACCAACACCGATCAATGATCGTTGTTTCCCGTCGTGGCGGTCTGCGGAATAGTCCAGAACCTGTGTCATAGTGATCGCTGTTTTGCCTATGTCTGTTCTGTTTGTGCCTGGTGTGAAGCATGTGAGGGTGATGAGCTGAGTGGCAATGTGACCTCTGACTTGTGTGTTTGCCTATACGTGACCTCCGGGCAGGCCGTGACCCGTGAGCTGTGCTGCTGACCCGTGGGATGTAGTGGTGTGCTCTCCGACCCCTGGCCTGACCTGTGAGGCATCGACCTGACTTCTGGGGCGTCTGACCTGACCTCTGAGGTATCTAATACGACCCTTGAGGCATTTTACCTGACATCTGAGGCATGTGACCTGACCTCTGAGGCATGCGACCTGACCTCTGAGGCATCTGACCTGACCTCTGAGGCATCTGACCTGACTTCTGAGGGATATGACCCAACCCCTGAGGCGTCTGCAATGACAGTGGCATGTCACCCGACAGGCAAGTCTTTGCAGTACGGCTGTCAACATGTGTACGAGTCGATGCCGCGACTTCTCAGCATCTGGCTCGACTACGGCGCCCAGGAGAACGGCGGCAAACAGCGACCCGCTGACGCCGCCCTGGTGGCCAAGGTGAGAACTAACACCCTCGCCCAGGGGAGGGGCGCCAAACCGTGGCCGTCCGCCGCCGCCCGGAGGGCTAAGGTCAGAACCAGTGGACGCACAGAGGCTGTGGTGATGTGATGAGAGTTTAGAGATAATGTAAATTATCGATAGCTAGTTTCCCACTGCAACCAATGAGTGTACCCTCCGTGTAGGGGCGCAGTTTGACTTAAACGTCAAACTGCTACTGCAAACTTGTGATGTCTCCTCTCGAATCACCCATCCAGCCAAGAGCGGACCTTGCAACGTATCATGAGGCGCGGAGCTCGCGCCCCGTGATTCGCGACATCACTATTATTTGAAAATGGAGCATGAAGGGGGTAACATTTCCAATTGTGGCGTCTCGTCAGGGATATTGTGGCGGATTGCGGTGCAGGGTGCCGTTCACTACCCATGGTTGGGATGTCGTAATGCATTGCACACATTGACTGTGCGCAATCCTTTCGACATTTACAAACGTTTTTCTGTTGTCCTTAATTCATGATTCACCAGTTCTGCGATCTAATGCCACCACATTCTGCCGCATCAATTGATAGACCTCTGACCAGCTGATCTCTTAGCTGATATATCTCCGACCAGTTGAAATAGATCTGACTAGCTGATATCTGTCCAGCTGATATACTTCTGACCAGCTGATATCTCGTGTGTGCGGAGCTGACGTGAGCGTGAGACAGCTGTGGAGGCCCTCTCCCCCCCCCCACCCCCCCCCCCCTCTGACACCTCCCGGGTCGCGTGTGCCGGCAGAGCGTGGAGCTGATGTGTCGTCGCGTGGGACAGCTGTGGAGCCCCCCCCCCCCCCCCTGACGCCTCCCGGGTCGCCGTGTGCCGGCAGAGCGTGGAGCTGATGTGTCGCCGCGTGGGACAGCTCCTGGAAGCGCTGCCGCTCTACTGCTTCCTCACTTCGTTGCCCCAGATCATCTCCCGCATCTGCCACGGCCGGCCGCAGGTGTACGCCCAGATCCGCGACATCCTGGCCGCGCTGCTCGCCACCTACCCCAAACAGTGCATGTGGTACGTGCGCAGACGCAGGGACGCGACGTCCCCGGGCGAGCGACGCCGGTCTCTTGAAGGCTGTACCTCAAGCGTGTTGTGGGCCCTGGGAAAGATGAGCACTCTCTATGCCGATTGTAACAATTTATTGTTACAGTGAATAGTTTTCAGCGCACTTTAAATGCGGAAGGCAAACAGATGTAAAAAGTTGGAAGATGCGGTGCGTGTTCCAGGTTCTCCAGGTATAATATTTTAAAGCCTCAACGGGAAGGATCTCCGGTGTCTGCAAGTCTTAAAACATATGTTGTTTGTTTGCCAGCATCCCTAGTGTTTCGAGTGTCGTTTGTTGTTATCAGTTGACATGGTGTCATTAATAGCATTGGCGATATCAAAGTAGCATACTGAAGGTCATCCTTCAATCAACTTCATATTTCAAAAAGGACTCGATAAGTTCCCCCCCCCCCCCCGCCCAAATGTGTTAAGCCTAGAGAAAGAATTGGAAGCAAATAGATGTCAGTCCAGATTTTAGGGCTTGCGAACATACCGAGGTTTGCGAGCTGCACGAATGTGTATACATGCATGAATAGTATCACTGTTAGATTTTGGAATGGTCTAATGCCTAAAACATCTTCCGCAGTCCAGTTACAATGTAGTCGGACACTTCGTTCACCGGCCATTGCTTTCGCCACGTTGGTCGTTTGCAGAGGCTATGCAGTTTCCACGATAACACACCTGCCCAATGCCACGTGACACAGGTGTTCGTCACCCACCATCCAAACGTTCGAAACACCCACCTTGCTGTCCGCCTCCAGCCTGCACAACTTCCGTCCTCCGTAAATGCGCCGTCGTCGGGGATCGAACCCACGGCCTCCGTGTGTCCGCCGCCGCAGGTACATGCTGGCCGTGTCCCGCTCGTCCTACCCCATGCGCGTGGAGCGGTGTCAGGACGTGTTCTCGCGAGCCAAAGCCAAGAAGCCCTCGCTGGGCCAGTTCATCTCTGACGCCACCAAGCTGGCCGATAAGCTGATCGACCTGTCGAACAAGCCCGTCGAGAAAAAGGTGGGTGGATTTGGCGGACGGTGGGTGGATTTGTTGGGCTGTGGGTGGGTTCGTTGGGTGATCAGGTGTATTTAGCGGACGGTGGGATGGGCTTGTGGATCGATAACACGTGGAATAGAGACGTGTGGGCAGTAGGTGGGAGTCGAGAGAAACCGTGTTTGGCTTGCCGGCTGCTTTATCTGCACAGATCTGGTGTGGTGTGTCGTATACTATTATCTGGTGTCTCGTATACCGGTGAAGGGCACGCGCGCTGGTGTCATTGCGTGTCGCATGTGAGAAGATCTGGGCCAGAGCAGAGATTGGCGGGTATAACGTGACCAGCAGAACGGTAGCATTAGAAGCCAAGGACTGAACGTAATAGGCACCGTTTTACTGCGCCATGTAACGCTTGATCTTCACCCCTTTTCCTTTGACCTGTGCCACGTGACCTGTGAGGCTGGGGTGAGGCTGAGGTAGGTGTGCATGCCAAAGGTGGTTAAATGTCGTTTGTACTTGTACCCATATTCTGTATTGCATTATGTGACCTTGGCTCCTGACATGGCCCCGTGACATCCAACTCTGACCTCTGACTGCTGAAATATCAACCACATGGTCTCTGTCCCGTATCCCGTGACCTTTACCATGCGCCCGTGACCTTTGACGTACACTCCGTGACCTTGGCATGTGCACCGTGGCCTTTCACCTGTAACCCGTGACATATGACCTGTACCCCGGCCCTCTGACGCATATGCCGTGACCTCTGACCGGTAGACGAGCAAGGTCAGCCTGGCCTCGTTCTTCCCGAGCATCCGCCGTCTGGTGTCGGCGGGATTCTCTCAGATTCTGGTGCCGCTACAGCAGCAGATGACGGTGAGACGTCGCCGCACGATCGAATGATGACGTCATCGTCCCCAGCATAGCATTGATTGAGAACAAATTGACGACCGTTATGTCTAGAAATCGTGTTCGCGGACGCCAGATATGATCGACTCAACAACTACATTGTAGGCTTTTGATCGCCGCATGGCTTATGGAATGGCGGGTTTGAATGACATTATCGTTATGGTGCCTGGGTGACCTTGGAACAGGCTCCCCAAAAAAGCCTGCACATCTTCTGACGTTTACTTAGAAACCACGTGGGTTGATGTCGTAAGAAGGATAGGCCTGTGAACTACACCGAATGATCTTCAAGATGGCTGTTTCAGTTCAAAACCCCATACAAATGTGGAACACTCCCTTTAAGCAGCATTTCGGTCCTCCACTTCGCGATTCGAAAGGCTGATCTGGGGATTGGCAGTTCCTATAACATCAGACCGATATGAATTGTCTCACTATGGCACACAAAAATTCAACAACACATGTCATTGGCACTGCGAAAGCCTTATCACCCTTGCTTGCGTCAATTCCCCGGCGCGCTGCGGCGAGTCCGGTAAGCTCAGCTTGCCCGTGCGTCCGCCAGGTGACTCTGCCAGAGACGGCGGCGCAGCACGGCTTCGGCTTCCGGCCGTTTCCGGAGGAGCAGGTGTGCATCGCCAGCTTTGAGGACGAGCTGGAGGTGATGCCCTCCCTGGTCAGGCCGAAGAAGATCACCATCCGCGGCACCGATGGCAAGAAGTGGGTGATGACCGTGTTCCTGCCGGTTTTGATTTGTCAGCCGTTCGGGCCGAGTAGCAGCGCAGATCTACACTCAGAACAAGTGCTGCATTGGTCTGCTCTGTATTATAAATGACGTTGGCAGTCGGTGCCCGTTGGCGTGGGAGACTTCTTGGTGCGGGTCATCCCACCTTTTGTCGCCTCGTTTTGCGCGCTGTTCGTGGCGCACCGAGTTCTGGTCACCAATATTGGCTGTCATATTGTAGCATGTCAGTGAAGGTGGGCTTGTGCATAGTACGCCGCAGTTTTTGAGTACCAATCAGTGCCACGTTCCTATATGTATCGAGTTTAAATCTTAACGACACCTGGCCTTTTACCCAGATCATGGGAGAAATCCCCACTCATGAACCTCCATGCCTGCACGAACGTTTTAACATCACCCACTTACTCAAAAACTCCTTGACCGGGATTCGAACCGGCGTTGTCAGGTACACGATGATGGCCAACCCAAGGACGACCTGCGCAAGGACTCGCGTCTGATGGAGTTCAACACGCTGGTGAACCGGCATCTGACGCGGCACGGCGAGGCGCGCGAGCGGAGTCCTGCGGATCCGCACCTACACCGTCATCCCGCTCAACGACGAGTGCGGACTGCTGCAGTGGGTGCGTACGCGCTCTGACATGTAGATGATGTGCTGCTTGAGGGCTGAGTGTGGCCCGCTGTGTCTGGTGCGTACACGCTGTGACATCGCGGTAGCGTGTAATACGCTGTTACCTCGTTTGCGGAGCATGAACTGCGACATAGCACGGCCGTGGAGGCTGTTTGACATCGCCTACGGCTGGCTGTTGTGCTGCCGAAGTGATGCGGATGCGGCAAGCCGGTAGACAGTCAATTTTGAGTTTGATTCGCTGCTGGGCGCACCGCACCGTGATTCGGCAGCGCGGTAGCCCGCGGTAGGCGGTTTGCTACATGACCCACTCTACCCAGTGTGGAGTGTTTAGCTGTAATCGCCGCCTTAAAGACATCACAGCAAGATTATCACATTGTCAGTCCTGGTGAAAGCGCCGTGCGTTATACATCGAGCACGCACCCCGTGAGCTAGCGCCCAGGGCCTGAACTACTCCGGCGAACGTCCGCTAACCCTTGCTGACCCCTGGATGACCTCCCAAGAACCCTGTCATTGGACGCCGTCCTCTGTTATCTCCTGCCGGCAGGCGTAGCCACGGACAACCTCACAGGCTCAATAAGCCTGTTTGTCCTGGAACCCCGCCGACCATATTTGACCGCCAAGTGACCTTGTGCTGACCTCTGATGACCCCTGCCTGTCCTCTGGTTACTCCTGCTGAACTCTGATGGCCCCCGCTGACCTCTGATTACCCGTACTGACCTTTGATGACCCCTGCTGAACTATGATGGCCGCTGCTGACCCATGATGACACCTGCTTACCTCTGATGCTCCTTACCGACCTTTGATAACACCTGCTGACCTCTGACCGCCGGCGACAGGTGCCGAACCTGAGCGGTATGCGCCAGGTGCTGCTGAGCCAGTACCGGCAGCGGGGCGGTATGATGACCAACGCCGAGCTGAAGCAGACTGCGGCGCAGCTGGACGACTCGCTGGAGAGGAAGCGGGCGATATTTACGGAGAAGTTGCTGCCGCGACACCCAGCCGTGCTGGGCGGCTGGCTCCGGGCCACCTTCCCTGACCCGCAAGCCTGGTGAGGGCACACCGTCGTCTGTTGCCTGGTGTGCTGCGCCGCTTTGGGATTGCCTGACTCGGCCGTCTGTCATATGGGTGTGCCATCTCATTGATCTAACTCGCTCGTCAACATCACTCTGCTGTCGTGCTCAGTTGTGTGTCTCAGCTTTCTGTCGTCTGACTTTGCAAATAAGCAACACCATACTTCTCCACTAGCGTTTGTCGTCCTGCATACGGCGCGTCCAACGCACGACCGAATCATGCCACGGTGACTGTCATGTAATGTCTAGCACATCACCAGAATGTTTGGCACGTCACCAGACCGGCTGATGCATCACCGGACCGCCTTATACGTCACGAGACCGTTTGACACATAACTAGACTGTTTGACATGTCACCAGACCGTCTGACACATCACCAGACTGTTTGACATGTTGCCAGACCGTCTAACACATCACCAAACTGTTTGACATGTCATCAGACCGTCTGACATATCACCGGACTGTTTGACATGTCACCAGGCCGCCTGACACGTCACCAGGCCGCCTGACACGTCACCAGACCGCCTGACACGTCACCAGACGGTATGACACGGTGCTGCGCTCTCGTCAGGTACGCGGCCCGTCTCAACTACGCCCGGACGGCCGCTGTGATGTCCATGATCGGCTACATCCTGGGTCTGGGCGACCGCCACGGCGAGAACATACTGCTGGACTCCTCCAGCGGCGACTGCGTCCACGTGGACTTCAACTGCCTCTTCAACAAGGTCAGCGTGTTGGAGGTCGGCGGGCCCTGTAACAGAGCGTCCGTGGTGGAGAGGTCAGGCAGCTGTACAGTAAAGATGGCTTGTGGAGATAGGACTAGTTTCGGGCGAGATCACAGGCGTGAGAGCAGGGACTTACCCGTACTGTTTGATTATGTCATAAATGTCCCAAATATGGTCTGTATTTTTAACTAGGGCCGCCGCTTCTCAGGCCGGTGGTAGGTGCGGTACGTGACCAGTGTGACCCCTCTCCCGCTGTGTAAAACCCCACCAGTGTGACCCAGCTCCTATGTGACCCCTCTCCCGCTGTGTGACCTCTCTCCCGTTGAGTAACCCGTCCCCCGCTGTGTGACCCCTCTCCTGCTGCATGACACCTCCCCCGCTGTGCGACCATGTCCCGTGTTACCCAACCCCTGTGCGACCCTTCTCCCTTTATGTGGTCCTCTCCAGTATAACCCCTCTCCCCTTGTGTGACACTGTCCTGTGTGATCTTACTCCTGAGTGACCCTTCTCTCATGTGTGACTCCTCCTGTGTGATCCCTTTTCCCCTGTGTGACCCTCCTTTGTGACCCCTCTCCTCCTGTATGACCCCACACCTGTGTGACCTCACTCTTGTGTGACACTCTGTCCCCGTCTATGACTCCTCTCCCCCTGTATGCCCCCACTCCTGTGTGACCCTATTCCTGTGTGACCCCACTCTTGTGTGACCCCTGTCCCCTCATGTGACCCCCCTCCCGCGTGACCCCACTGCTCTGTGACCCCTCTTCCCCTGTGTGACTCCTCTCCCTCTTGTGTGACCCGTCTCCCCTGTGTGACTCCTCTCCCCCTGTGTGACCCCTCTCCCCTTGTGTGACCCCTCTCCCCCTATGTGACCCCTCTCCCCCATGACCATCTGCTGTGTGTGACCCTTGTCCCCCGTGTGATCTCTCCCCATGTAACCCCTCCCTACGTGACCACTGCCCTCTCCCCCATGTGACTCCCTCTTTCCCGCGTGACTCCCCCCTGTGTGATCACTCTCCCCCATGTGACTTCCCCCTGTGTGACCACACTCTCCCGTGTGACTTCCCCCTGTGTGACCACTCTCCCCATATGACCCCCTTTTCTCTCTCCGTGCTCAGGGGGAGCTGTTTGACTGGCCGGAGCGGGTGCCGTTCCGCCTGACCCACAACATGGTGGACGCCCTCGGACCGACCGGTGTCGAGGGGGTGAGTGTGTGAGGGGAGGGGCGCCGACCGCGCTCTGACGTGGCTCACAGGGTTCAGACTAGGCTGGCAGTGCATGGGGGAGTGTGGCACGGTGTACTGACGGTTAGCCAGCTCACAATTATAAAAAACAACGTACTAGAGCTGGCGTCTGTAACCTTTCGAGTTAACCGGGCTTTGATATCTGGACTATACTAGCTGTAGTTCTGACCGTGCCGTGGTGTGTTGCCAGCTGTAGTTCTGACTGTGCCGTGGTGTGTCGCTAGCTGTAGTTCTGACCGTGCGTTGGTGCGTTGCCAGGTGTACCGGACAGCCTGCGAGGTCACCATGTCCGTGATGCGCCAGCAGCAGGACGCGCTGATGTGCGTGCTGCGCCCGTTCGTGCACGACCCCCTGGTGGAGTGGAGCAAACAGGAGCGCAAGACCAGGGACGTCGGCGAGATCGTCAACGAAAAGGTCCTTTTTTGGCCAGCGGGCGGAGGCCCTCGATGCCGCGCTGTTTGTTCGTTTCATTAGAGAATGCGTCGTAGGCCCTGGTCACCGTTGATGGAAAGTTCTCAGTTCATGCGACCGTATCATTGAAAGCGCATTTGTAACCGAGCCTAGGTATGTTTCATAGTCCCATCTTACTTGCACCACGAAGACAGTCACCGTGTATGTGGTTGGTGACCCGTGACCATGACATATGGTCATTGTATGCCTGTGACCGTGCCATACAGTGACCGGAGTGTGATTACTAACTCCGCGGCCTAACTCCGTGTGGCCGGTAGCCCCATGTTTACGCTACCGAGCGGCGTCGTATGCGCACTGACTGGTGGCGCCTCTGGCGGCAGGCTCAAGCGCACGTGGGAGACATCGAGCAGCGGCTGCGGGGGCAGGTGCGCTCGAAGCTGAAGCCGGTGCCGATCCCGCTGTCGGTGGCGGGTCAGGTCAACTACCTGATCGAGGAGGCCACCAGCGTCGACAACCTCTGTCAGATGTACATCGGCTGGGCGGCTCACTTCTGAACGCTCTCGCCTCGGACCGGGTCCGCGCTCCCAGACGGGGCCCGCGCTCCCATGCCGGGCCCACGCTCTCGGAGCGAGCCGCGCTCCCAGACCGGGCCCGCGCTCCCAGACCGGGCCCGTGCTCCCATACCGGGCCCACGCCCTCGGACCGGGCCGCGCTCCCAGACCGGGCCCGCGCTCCCAGACCGGGCCGCCGGCTGATCTGCGCCGGCCGCTCCTCGGCTGACCGCAGTTCTAAATCCGAGAACGTGTCGGCTGAGTGGGCGCCTTCGAACGGCAGCGTCGTCGGGTTTTGGCGCCTGTGATCGTCAGATTGTCAACGTGTGTGTTCGTTGTGTCCCTGTCTCGTGCGGGGGATATATAGTTGCCGAGAATTGCAGCCGTTTAGACACCGTCGACACTCCGCGGGTAGTCGGTCGATTTCTGCGATCCTTGTTATTGTGGCTGTTGCGTTATGCTACCGACGTATTAGTCGATACTGACGTGAGCGGGAGAACGCGTTATTTATGCATGCCGTCCGTGCTGATGTCTGCTGTTGCCTTCGCTGCGTTTTCTGAGCCATGTTGGATAGCAGGTCAGGATTTGGAAGGTTCTTTTTTGGTTCAGTGGGAGATTTGTCTTGCCGCGTGCGCGGGTCGTCTGGTGCGCTCTTGTCCAGTGGATGCTGATGGACGCGTGCCGAAAGACGCATTTTCGCCGAATACAACTTCGGCCGACATTTGGCCCTTTGCATGTTTCCCTGCAACACGAGGTCTTCCCGAGGCCTACTGACCAACGCTGTTTGGGGTTCAGGATTTCCTGGAGTCATCGCCACCCAGATGAGCTCAGTGATATGCACCACCTACGTGACAGACCTCGTGCAAGCACTAACCCCATTGGATGTTCTGCAACGCGTGCTATATAAAGATAGACATCACACAGCGAGGACAAGTGCATTGTTGGTAGTGCGGTCCTTGCAAAGGTCACATGCTCGTGACATCCCCCCTGGGGTCGTGCAATCCCCCCCCCCCCCCGTTGAATTATGCAGATGCTGGCAAATCCGCCCGTGTCAAAGACTGCGTCGAAATCGAAGCCTCTCCTACGGCGGCCGGTACCGGTGTGAGCGCACCATGTTGCAAAGCTTGTAAGGGCTTCGGAGAATTCGCATCCAAGAGGGGATGCAGGCAGTCATACTTGTAAGCAGGCGGTATCCAAATCCATACCGGTAAGCGCCGCTGCAGCTGTGGCGGTGACCAGCCGTGGTCTAGACGTAGTTAACTAGTACCGGGTGATAAACTGACGAAGACAAGCGCAAAAGCAAACTATGGACGGCTTCGATAACATGTGGAGAACGCGAGGTGAGTTTGATCGTGGTATGAACTTCTTGAAACCGTGGCCATCCATCGAAGGGATCGTCGTACGAAGTCGCCCCCCCCCCCCCCCCTCTCTCTCTTCAGGTTTGGCTCGAGATGCAGATGGCGATAGAAAGTTGTTTTCCTGAGACATGTATACGGCGAATGGAAACGCTCCCAGCGATTTTCACGAACTGCGGCAGGTTATGGCGCACAAGTGAAGCATGGACGTCAAAGAAATGTCCAAAGAAGGTGAACAACTCCACCTGGGTCCGAGCCACCATGCGTCACATCACAACCGCTCTCAAACATCCACCCAGTCATAGCACGCGAAGAATGAGCGTTGCGGGAGCTTACTTCCCGCATTATTTCACAACCCCTCGTTCAACATTGCTTAATGTCATTGCTCAGCTCTGCACAGCACCAAATGCACCTCGCGTGAAAACGTCACCAGCGAACCTCACTGACTTCACGGGCTCACGCGGTCCCTGACGCTCACAGATACGGGTTTGTACTTGCTGACCACTGCTGCATAGTTTCCCATCTGGTCTGCGCCCTCAGCACAGCTGCAGCTGCAGGGCCGATATGTACTCCATGGCCATCTGGAGCGTCTCGTGCTTGGAGAGCTGCGACTCGCTGCCCTGCGGCAGGTGGTGCCGCAGCAGGTCGAACGCCTCGTTGAGCCGCTGCATGCGTCGCCGCTCGCGGCAGTTGGCGCCCTCCCGGCGCCGACGCCATACCGCCTCGCTGGCCGGCGCGCGCCGCTTCTTCTTCGGTGGCGGCGCCTCGGCTTCGACCGCGGCCAGCGCTCTCAGCCAGGGGCGCGCGCAGGCGGAGGTGGCCGCAGCGATGGTTTGTGGTCTGGGGGACGGGCTGGGGCCTGCAGCCGGATCAGCTTCGGTCCCTGAAGCACAGGTGGTCAAAGTCAGTCTCCTCACAGCGAAGCAATGTGATGCATCTTATTTCCTGTGAAAAAGATCACGATCTCTGAAAGAGAGATGGAGCCTATCGCGCTACGGGAGCGCTTGTTTACGAATAAAACCACAGGTGGGGCAAGCCTTGCTTGACCCATGACAGCCTATCCAGTTTAAGCGGCCTCGAACGGCCGTCAACCTATCTGGGAGTCAGAATAGTCACAACCCCTGATCTCAGCTACACGACTTTCAGTACCAACAAACAGTTCGACAAAAGTTGTGGTGTGTAAGTTGTCTGCTATTCGCATGCGAGCTGATCCATCAGGTGTGTTTCCTCACTGAGCATTGCACTATAACATTGTACTATCTCGATGAAAGGCCTGAAGAACATGTGGAAACTGGGGCCAGATGTCGATGCAACAGCGCTGCGCGGCATGGGATGAGTTTATTCCGACTGAGCTGGGAGGGCAGTGCACTGAGCAGTGCGTCCATCCGTTCCCAAGGGAGAACGGGTGGACGCACCGACAGACTCAGGGGAGAACGGGTGGACGCACTGACAGACTCAGGGGAGAACGGATGGACGCATTGACAGACGCAGAGGAGAACGGACGGACGTACTGACAGACCCAGTGGAGAACGGGCGGACGTACTGACAGACCCAGGGGAGAACGGGAGGACGAACTGACAGATCCAAGGGAGAACGGGAGGACGTACTGACAGACCCAAGAGAGAACATTGGGTGGACGTACTGACAGACCCAGGGGAGAACGGGCGGACGTACTGACAGACCCAGGGGAGAACGGGCGGACGCACTGATAGACCCAGAGGAGAACGGGTGGGCGCACTGACAGACCTAGGGGAGAACGGGAGGACGAACTGACAAATCCAAGGGAGAACGGGAGGACGTACTGACAGACCCAGGGGAGAACGGGTGAACGCACTGACAGACCCAGGGGAGAACGGGTGGACGTACTGACAGACCCAGGGGAGAACGGGAGGACGTACTGACAGACCCAGGGAAGAACGGGAGGACGAACTGACAGACCCAAGAGAGAACGGGTGGACGTACTGACAGACCCAGGAGAGAACGGGAGGACGTACTGACAGACCCAGGGAGAACGGGCGGACATGCTGACAGACCCAGAGGAGAACGGATGGGCGCACTGACAGACCCAGGGAGAACGGGCGGACGTACGGACAGCAGTGTGAGTCAAGGGCGAACCCGTTGGCACCCGCGTGTCAACTTTGGACCTTCCGGTTTGTGACATTTTTATTGATGCGAAGTATCGGCAACGACAACCCATAACGACGTGAAATATGCGATGTACAAATTTCGGCTTTGCAATTCGCTTTTTTGTTTTTGTTTTTCAAAAAACTTCTTCAGCCTTTATGTGATGCATTCAAAAACACCCCGACCGACATGTGCGTCGACCATCGTGTGCAAAGCAGCTAATGTGTTTTTTTCCAAAACCAATTTTGAATGCGAGTCGTTATCGTCCAAACCAAAGGAGAGATAAAACCATCACAAAATTTGCAGGCGTTTAGTCCTACTTATCGCGACAAATTGAGCCAGGAGGACAAACGGACCAGCAGACTGACCGACGGACACACAGACGACAGACAGACACGACAGACACGCACACGACAGACAGACAGACACGACAGACACGCACACGACAGACAGACAGACAAACAGACAGACGGACAAACAGGCAGGCAGACGCAGGGGCAGCAAGGCACAGAAACAGATAGATACAGGGACAGAATGACACGAAGGCACAAGAACAGACCGAGATAGGGACAGAAAGGCAGGCGGTGAGGTAGGCAGGCGTCAGACGGATGTGGTAGATGAAAAAACGTACGTACGTACTGCTGTCCGTACGTCGAGCCTCATTCTGTTCAATTTAATTGACCACCTTGATTACATCTACGGCCATGTCAACAAAATGAGTTTTTCAAATATCTCGCAGTTATAGCTTGTGCCCGCAAAACTCCACCAACCTGTGTAACTGGTGCTGAAGATGGCGGGCTTAGTGACCTCCGTCTCGGGCTCATCCTTGATAACAAATGTCGCTGCACCTGTTGATTTCTCGAGTGATGCCCTGCGGTATTCAACGTTTTTGTCGTGTGCTACCACATGCACGATCTCCAGCAGTGGTATCCTGGTCTGCCGGAGATTGTCTTCTGTGTGTACAGTCTCCTGCAGTGGTACCCTGGCGTTCTCGCCGCTATTATCTAGCACAGTGTTCAGCAGTGGTACCCTTGAGTGACGGTCACTTTCCTTCATTACAGTCTCCAGCAATGGCACTCTGGACTTCCGGTCACCGTCCTGCAGTACAGTCTCCAGCAGTGGTACCATGGAGCACTGGCCGTTGCCCTCCATCTCTGCACCATCGTCCAGACCGCCTGCCACCACCCACGTCATTGCAGCGCCCCTACGCCTCAGCCGCGTCGGGCCAGCTGGCAACTGTCAGTTCGATGCCTCCGTGCACCACTCGGCAGCTTCGGGGCTACCCTGCTGCGTCACCCAGACAGACAAAACTCCACCTGTATCACCGAAACCCTGGTCCGCACTAGTGCTCTCCGGGGGCTGGCGTAGAGGGTTTTCCTGCGGGGAGCCCTTCCGGACGCAGGAACTGGTTTCCGATTGGTCCGCGGAAGGATGGGGGCGGAGCCGGAAAGCATGTGGGGCTCAGCGTGTTTCTGTGGGGCAAAATCTAAGGGAGGGGGGGGCTGAAAACAAGGCCGCTGCTTT